TACCGAGTCCTGGTACGTAATGGCAGCCTTTGGTTTCTGGGAGATGACTCCAAAACGCCCATCCCGTTTGCATTGGAGGAACCGCTGATACAGTGTAACAGCTACATAATTTTCCTTCGCCGGCAGGAGGACGGCTCATCAATGTAGAGGCGTAGGAGGCGGCACAGAATGTCGCTGCAGGCTCTGTTTCAGAATGCAGCAATGAGTAATGGCCCACCACCGAAGCGAGGAGAAGCCTCAGGACGAGGTTCTCCCCGAAAAAGGCAGAGAAGTGGAGCAGCTCCCCAAAGAAAAGGATGTGGCAAGGGCGATTGGGGCTGTTTCACCTTCGGAGGAGGAGATACTCCCCAAAAGCAGGTGGAGATCCGGAGCATCCGATAGAGGAGATACTCCCCTAAAGCAGGTGGAGAAACTCCCCGGCGCATCCGACAGCTAATGTCCCAGGCTGCATGGGTTTTGAAGAGTTTTTGTACAGCGGAGAAGGCCCACTCCATGCTCAAAACTTGGCACTCCCGCACTCCGGCATCATTCGTCAACACAGGGTCAAGCTCAGATTAGTGGCCGACACCAACAGAACTGCTGATTACCTGCCAGGCCAAGCCACTTGTGCATCACCAAATTATGAAGACTGGCACTCAGTTCGGAATGAGCAGTGAATGCCAGCATGGCGCTTCAGCTCAAGTGTCGGCAAGTGAGCTTTCAGTATCCTCTGACTGAGGCGCGGAACTAAGAAAGTCAGGAAGCCAATGATCTGGCAAATATCACAGCACTACAGCCTCTGGGATGTGTATACAGAGTTCTTACGAGTAGCCTTTATGACGCTTGTTGGAGATATTCCACCAAACACTCCTACAGAGGCCTCAGAACTTCCAATCTTAGCCCCGCTAAACCATTTCCACTCAGTACACATCGTCGGGATGCGGCCATCACCTGGCCTTGCCTCTCGGTGCACCAATGGCCCCGGGTGGAGCTGCTCCCCTGGGTATGGTGGCTGTGTCAGGAGGAGGACCTCCCTTGACGGGCCCAAGTCAAGTTACTTCCCTGCCCTAGTGCACACTATTCAACCTTAGTCGGAGGAGGAACTCCCCTCGGGGGGATCCTCATCTTGGCTCCGCAGACCACAGTGCACGTGGCAGGACCGGAAGTCCCGGAAGGTGCAGGTTCAACACTGGCAGTAGCTACTACAACAACGACAACGACTGACCAAGGAATAAGGCGATGAGAACAATGACTTAGAGAGACAGGTGCAAAGCCGCAGAAGACAGTCACTGTACCCGCGCCAGCACGCCCGTAATCCGCAGTCCTGCGGCACAGGATGCATGCAGGTGCAGCGCTGCGGCGCGGTCTGCAGCGGGTCGACACCAGTGAAGCGCTAACCATTCCATGCAGACCGGAAGGGAGGAGTTACTCCCCCAACAAAAGCACACGCTCCAGCAATGTGTAAGTATGTAACCAACTCCACTGGTGACAGTGGAAATGCCATCATCAAGGAATCTACAGTAGGACCAATAACTAGGTTAGTCACTCGCAAAGCGAGGAGAAGTTTCACAAAGACAAGCGTGCTTCCCGCTGCGCGTGAATGAAATGCTATTGTCACTGTCATTGTCGATTGTCAATGTGATCATGATGGTGACAGTGTAGTGCTTGCTTTCATGCTCGTGCCTTGTTCATGTTCGTGTTGGTCTTGGCGTTAGCGTGATTGTTTGTGTTACTGCTTGTGTTTGTGTTTTTGTTTTTGCTGTCGCGATTGCGAGTCCCATTGCTGTTGGTATTGCTATTGCTATTGCTATTGCTATTGCTACTGCTATTGTTATTGTTAATATTATTGTTATTGTTGTTAACTCTAGTTCTCTAGCACTGTAAGCTCGACAGTCTGACTCTAGGCGTTGGCCTAGGCTACAGCAAAACCTTAATGAAGCCACGACTACAGGCGATACCCTGAAAATTCGCTCGTGCCCGTCTCAATAAGGTCCCGTTTAAGAGAGCTATAAGTAGGGTTAAGAAGGATCCCCTCTAAGGGGTCTCCCTAATACTGCCAGGATTAATCTGTATTTGGACTCAAGAAAGCTGTTGGTGGACCTTTCATCGGCTTCGAAGGACATATTTGCTTTGTAGCTCGAGATCTGGCTGGGTTTAAGTTTAGGATTTAGTGCTTAAGATCTAAGATGTAGGCCTAAAGACTGTGGTCTGAGTACACGTGTGGTGCGATGTCATCTCAGGAGACGGGGGCTGTGTCGTTTGGAAGGTTGATTGGCTCCATATCTTTGTTCACAGGAGGTCAGAAATAGGCGGTGGGTGAAGTTGTCCAGAGATTCCTATTTGAGAACTTCAGAAAATTAGGGATCCCAATAGAGACCCTAAGCACTCCCTAACAGTATTCCTCTTCTGACGAGGACCCACAAAACGGAGCCGTGGGAGAAAGCGTATAACCCATATACTCTCGCCTGTCTGGTCTGGGGGAACGGGTCTCCATTCAGGCTCATCCTGCCAGATTACCAGAGTTTACAACTGTTGAGGTGTAGGGTTTAGGGCTTAACGGCTGAAGGTTGAGGAGGAGGATTTCTGGGATGAAGGCTACCCTAAACCCTAAACCCTAAACCCAAACCCTTGCACATCCCTCCTCTGGCCTCATGCTGGCTCTCATCCAGAGCAATCTCCTCAGCTGCATGAACCCGCCATCCTCGAAGAACAGCCCTGCAGCCCGAAGCTCCGAAAAAGTCCCCGCAAAACCCAGAAAAATACATATATATATATATATACATATACATAAACATATATATATACAATATTAGCAATAGCAACAATATCAAGATTACTATTTCTTAAGAATATTTTTTACAGAAATATTTCTATTGTTAACAGTCCAAGCATCACTTGGAAGCTTTAAAGAGAGATCCTCCATGGAATTGCGCTCCTCAAGGTCCTCATGCCCGAGGAGTATGGCACGCACATCTCCTGGGACGCCGTCATCTCCAAAGGAAGACCTGGGGAGTTCACGGGTTTAGGCTTTAGGGCTTGGGGTTTAGGGTTTAGGGTTTAGGGTTTAGGGTTCCGGGCTTGGTGATTAGGTTTTAGGGTTTACGGCTTGGGGATTAGGGTTTAAGGTTGAGGGTTTAGGGTTTAGGGCCGGGGGTTTTGGGTGTAGGGTATCCATGAGGTGGATGCCTCTATAGGACCAGCTCAAGACTTACAAAAAGCGTCCCAAAGAAGACAACTTTTGGATCCTTGATAGAATCTCTGTGGAACCCTACACCCTAAACCCTAAACCCAAACCCCAAACCCTAAACCCTAAACCCATGGTAAAAGCTTCCCAAAGGTGCCACTGTAGGCGCAACGCGTGCGTGATCCGATTGAAGGTCACCTCGTTCACCCCGCGGTCCACGCGCCACTCCTGGGCGTTTAGGGTTTAGGGTTTCGGGGTTTTGGGGTTTAGGGGTTTAGGGGTTTATTGGGATTCTATTATAGTTAGTAGTTGTCTGTATATGGTCGTGTTCTGCTCAAAACTGGTTCGATGGCTCAATAGCAAATAGAAACTCTCTTCCAAGAAGGCCAGACTCAATGCTGCTAGACGGTTCCACCGGCATGGCACACAAGATCTTGGTTGGCTGCACATCCACTACTTGGGCGGCCAGCACCCCTGGCAACAGCGGGTGTTTGGACGACTTGGTGGCCAGCAGCCAGTCGCCACTCTGGAAATCATGCGGCTGAGCAGACGGAAGCGAAAACTCGATCAAAGGGTCACCAAAAAACTCGCCAGCACGCTTCACCTGCAAATTCGACAGTGCCAACCCCTCGGCTACCAACTTTTCCACTGGCCACTGCCGTAAGCGTTCCTCCACTTGTCGCTTCTCCTCCTGAAACTCGATGTTCACCAACTCCTGCTGCCAGGCAGCCCATCCTTCCGCAGTCATCAAATTGTCTCCCGGCTCTCCTGGTGGGAGTCTAAGGCATTCGAAGAATCATCGACAAAATGCGAAAAGCCGCATCCCGAATACTTTTCGAACAAATACCTTAGCACTGTATGCTTCCCAAGCACCGGATCCATCCATCTCTGTCGATTTCGCATCGTCTGCGGTGTCTGCAGCAGCGTCGCGAAGCTTCCGATAATCTGATCGTCGTCCACGGACAAGCGTTTTCGGTGCTCGGCCGGTCAAGGCGAGGGTGCCGCAGATCACGAAAGAAGCGCTGACTGACCTCCTGGAACCCATGACCAGATGCTCGAGGTTTGCTTTTTTTTCCGAAAAGCGGATCGAAAAACTTCGGCTGCTACTACTACAGGTTCAGGGTTTGGTGGCTAGGGGCTTCCGAGTTCAGGGTTTAGGCACATCGAAGCTGCTAAGTAGCCAGGATGCTTGTCTTTGCACAGCTCGCACCTTTGAATGCTTCCCCATGATGGCCGCGAACCCGAAGTATGCCAAGTCCGCGCATGGACGCACCGATGCAACGGCGGATGTGCCAGCATTGGACTCTATGAGCACTGGAAAACTGGGCCGAATGCTGCACCGAAGCGAACTTCCTAAGCCCTAAGCCCCTAAACCCTAAACCCTAAACCCTAAATCCTAAACCCTAAACCCTAAATCCTAAACCCTAAACCCTAAACCAACAGGATGATGCCATCACGGAACACTTCAACGCTTCTTCAAACACTTTGGCTTAGAACTTCCTCTTGCGACTTCGCCCTTAGGGTAGCTGCGGCTTGAACAAGTGCAGCTTCGGAGCCTACAAGGCGTCTGCAATGCTAAAGAGGTGCAACCGGATCGATAATGTAGGAACCTCATGAAGAAACCCTGGCCCCATCATCCCAAAAGCATATCAAGAACCCTAAGATACACCACACTCTTGATGCCAGGACTTGGACGTCGGTCAACGAAGATTCTTCTTTGCAGACGAAGCAAAGTTCCGATGGTCAGGCGTTGCCTCATGAGTAGTTCTCTAAATCCAGGTCCCTTTTAGGGTCGTTTTTGTAAGAGTGCCGTACTAATTGGACCCAGAAGAGGACCCTAGTTCAGAGAACTACCCTCATGTTCAGAAGGTTGCGAGATACTTCGATGAAGCGATGGGCGACTTGGAATATCAGCTGCTCTGTTACTTGACTTGGTTCTCTGCAACAGGGCCTTTGGGAAAAGACCTTCCCTGTCCAGAAACTTCAGCATGCAATTCACCGAGTCCTGATCGTATCCGTGGGGCCCTTCTTCTGTCAGGTCCCGGCCCAAACCTCTCCAATAGTAGTGACGTAGGGGGTACATGAAATTGGACTCCGGGAGCTCAGCCAGCAGCTCCTGCCATTCTGCCAGGGCCACTTCGCGAAGTCGGCGAGAAAGCACTTCCGAAGAGGCCACCAGGCCCATGAGAATTTCAGCTGGCAAAACGCAAGCAGCTGGCTTGCAGGTATCGTCATGAATACGAGCCACGATGGCCTTTGCAACCTCTTCACACGGAAAAAGCCGTAAGCTTCCAGCTCCATGCCAAGCTCCCAGCTGAAGTGTGCCCAAAACGTAGCGAGTCAGCCAGTCTTGCACGTTGGACGCTCCGGTTACACGATCCGGGCCGACCATCCCAAGTTGCAAAATGCTGCCCTGCATGCCGCAGGACAGCGCCTCCTGCACAAGGCTTTCTGCGGCATGTTTGGTTTGCCCATACCCGGAGCTTCTGCGATGTTCCTGTGCAGACTCGGTGGAAATCAGCACAAACTTCGTGGGCGCCAAAGAAGCAAGCATCAAGAGGCGTCGAGTCCCTTGAACATTTGTAGCCTCCAAAGCGCTGTAACTCTGCAAGTGGTGCACCTCTGCAGCCACATGCAGGATGATGCCTCCTGCAAGATCACGGAACTCCTCCTGAGGAAGATTGCAGAACTCTTCAGACAGATCACCGGCAACTACGCGCACGCCGTCCAGCCGCAGCTGTTCAGCTGCCTCATTATAGCCACGCCGCAACAGCGTTTCCAAGAGACGCTTCTTGGCCGAAGCATGGGATGGGCCACGCACCAAGGTCGTGACTCGGAGCCCTGAGGTCACCAAATGCTGAAGCACACAAGCACCTACGTGGCCAGTTGCCCCTGTCAGTAAGATCTTGGAAGATCTGTCGCCTGACATGGGAACAAAAGATCCCAAGCCCACGAGCTCTTCAGGAGTGTTGAGCGGGAGTCGCTGCCTGCCTTCGACGTGAGCCTTCATCGCGGCTAATGGAGGCTTTTGCAAGAGATGGATCACCGACACATCCACCCCAAAGAAGAGTCGGAGAGCGTGCGAGGCGCTTGCTGCTGCGACGCTGGTTAGATTAAGATTTTGCCATGCCTTCTCATCAGTTCCCTGCCGAATCAATCGCACCACCTCATGCTCTGTCCGGTCATCTTTTCCGGATTCCAACATCTCTTGGATCGGTGTCGCGAAATGCTCCAAGATCTTCCTGCGGCAGAGCTTCCCAGTCGCCGTTAGGAGTCCGTTGTTTGCATCCCAAGCCTCAGACGTGACGTGCACAGCTTGCGGCGTCTCAAAATGGCGAACACCTGTTCGCAACTGCATGACTCCGCGGAATGCATCAAGCACTTGTTCAGCAGGCACTCTGGCAACAGCGACAGCCACAATGCAATCATGCGCAGAGTCTCCATGCACCAATACCTGCTGTACCTCAGGGCACTCCATGAGGATGGCCTCCACTGCTTCCGGCGACACCCACTCACCATTGCTAAGTTTGAAGAACGCTTTCTTTCGATCAATTACACGCAAATGCTTGGGGTCAGGCATCTCGCCGATGTCACCCGTGCGGAAGAAGCCATCTGACGTAAAGCTTTCGCTGGTGATGTCAGGGCGGTTCAGATACCCAGCGGCCATGCGCTGAGTTTTTACTAAGATCTCTCCACGCGGCGGAACATCCGTGGTCTTGTACATGCCAAAATCTTCCAGTCGCACCTGCTTTGGGGTACGGTAGAACACTTAGTTGTAAGTTTTTCTTCTAGATGTAACTTTTCAGCTTTTTCAGCAAAATGACTTAGTTGTAACTTTTTTGGGCTCCGAAAACAGCAAATCTCTGCAGATGTTCGCAAAACAGTCATCTTAGTTATAGCGCTGTTTTGGTGTCTTTAGCACCAAACCACTAACGTAGTGTGGTGTATTGATGCTTTTTCCTTAGGGCTTAGGGTTTTCGTCTTCGGTCCCGGGTTCCTCCTGGATTCACTCCTTAGGGCTTTCGTCTTTGGGAAACAGTTCCTGCTGGATTCACTCCTTAGCGTTTTCGGCTTCGGAATTCACTCCTTGGGGTTGGCGTCTTGGGTATTCACGCATCATCACTGGTACCTGTGGCTTTCCACATGTCGGCTTCAGCTTAAGGCCCAGTTCCAACGGAACGGAGTGTAGAGCTTTGGCACGGGATAGACAACATCCCAGCGTGGTTGTCAAATGTTAATGCTGTTAAGGCCTCATAAGATAGATATGCATTTGTACGTGAGCATAGCAGCTTGATGTAAGGCTGTCGAGCGGCTTCAGGTAGGGGCATGGCGAGTGGGGAAGCCTCAAGCCACGCACGCATGATTGTCTGAATGAGCTCGATCCCTCGTGTTACGTAAGGCCTGACTGCCGGGTTGGTTGGGGCTAAGAGTTGTTGGGGGTAGGTGGGGTAGGCGGGGTAGGTGGGGCAGGCGAGGTAGGGTAGCGGGGGTAGGCGGGACAGGTGGGCTAGGTGGGGTACGTTGTGAAGGTGGGGTCAGTAGGAAAAAGGAATCGTTACATCTAAGAGAAAAGAACTACATCTAAGAAAAAAAAAGTTACAACTAAGCCTGCTACCCACCTGCACGCCATCCTTGATGGGCGGGAGCTGGCCAGGTCCACTAGCTGTGATGCCTCCTGCCTCCGTGAGGCCATAGTTTTCACTGACCTCAGCGTCGCTGTAGGTGCTTTGGAGCCAACGCATCACAGCCGGACATGGCAAGGCTCCCCCACAGTTGATTTGGTGGATCCTGGGCCCCAGCCAACTTTTGGCTTCCTGGCGTAAGGCCTTTGCTCCTGCTTCGTCGCATGAGGAGAGCCGATCCTGAAAGCGCTTGTAGAGGAGCGCCCACATCTGCGGAACACCGCCCAGCTGGGTTGGTCCAACCGACTGCGCCACCTCAAAGAGCTGAGCTCCCTCCTGAAGAATTACACCCCGGCCGCCTCCCAAGATGTTCCCAAAGATGTTGTAAGGAGATGCCGACGTTGAGAGAGGAGCCCCATGAATGAGCACCCCAGAAAAATCACTCTCGCCAGTGCTTATCCTGTTGCACATGTATCTATTCAACGCACGGTTCTTAATTAAGGCACCCTTGGGCGCGCCTGTGGAACCGCTGGTGTACAGGATCATTGCAATCGGTTCTGGGATTGTTTCATCCATGATCGGTGCGCCATTGCCGTCCCACAGATCAATCCATCCTTGCGCCACCTCACTAGCAACCTCCACAGCGCTGCCACTCACCTGCAAGACTTCGACGACAGAGCCCTCAGCCAACTCATACGCCTCCTGATCCTCGGCTCTTTTCTTCAACTCACGGCCCCTCTTTGCGAGAAGTGGAAGCTTAGCAAAAAGAAAGACTCGGGCGCCTAGGCTCGTTCTCCCTGGTGCTTCTCAAGGGCGTAGCCCTCAGAACCTCGTAGCTCGCGCCGACCTTTGCAGGAGCCACTTTGTCTGCCAGGTCGAACCAGGCCTGCTGTGCCTGGGTTCTTGTTAAGTTAATTTTTAAGTTACCATAATAGGGGCCTACAGTAAATAATATGGCTTCCTTATTACGGTAACTTAAATTAAACCGCTTAACAAGAACCCTAAACCCTAAACCCTAAACCTCTAAACCCTAAATCCCTTAACAAGAATCCTAAACCCTAAACCCTTAACCCCAAACCCTAAACCTCTAAACCCTAATTCCCTTCTACTGCCTCCACACGA